CGCTGGCGACGATTAAGGCGGCCGCGGTAGCCGCTATTTTATAAAACCCCATTGTTTTCGTTTGAGGTTGGTGTTCGTGCTCACTGATATGTTTCTATACACTCCTTCCTCTATCTCTCCCTGTGTTTGTTTTTACATCTATTTCAGAATGTGCAATTGAAGGTCATGGAATTTTCTTGTATTAATAAGAAATATTCCACATTTACTCTTCATTAAAAAGGTAGCGTAGGTTAGATTTTTCCTAAACTGTTACAGCCAAATTGTGAGACAATGTACACTTTTTCCCCTTAAAATTTTTCATTTCCTTGGCATTACTGGGTCACGTCTAATTTTAGGGTTTCTAGGCCATGGGTTATGCTTCGCATGAACGGGTTCCCTGCTGAGGCCTTTGTTTTTTCTTTCTTCTAACATTATTTTCTTGCATGTTTATCTTTCACTCTGTTTCACATTTTTATTTCTTTGATTAATTTCGTCAAATCCGGGTTCTCATTTCATGATCTTTTTAAATTTTTCGGTTCTTTGACTCTCTTTTTGATTGTTTCTTTTGGCTTTGAAATGATTGCATGTTAACACTTGTTCTTTATTTTACAAAGGAATGATCCCTTAGTGAAGGTTCTTAAGGATATAACTCTTCTCCATGATTTTTGTGACTCTTGAATAGAGATAATTTTGTGAAAATTATGATCTCATAAATCTCAAAAGTGATTACAAATGTAGAAGGAATGTTTATATAGAGTAGGGAAGCGTGTGAAGCAAGCTAGGTTAACCATGGTTCAAGAGAACCATGGTTGGCTTAACTTGACCATCCACCATGGTTTGGGAGGCTTGTGGAGCAAGCTTCTAACTTAGTATCTTGGAAAACAAGCTAAGTTAGAAGCTTGTAGCACAAACTTCCCAAGGTCCAAAGGAGAAGAAGTAAATCTGACCAAGGGAAGGGATGGGCGGCCATGGGCTCGGTTCTATATTTGATCCAAGCCAAATAATTTGGAATTGGTTTAGTTAGGTTCACCAAATGATGGTGAGGCCTGGCTAAATCAATTCCTTGGAAAATATGGAGCAAAACAAGCCCAATATGTAAAATTTTGCCTAGACCCAACTCTGGCCCATTTACTAATTACACCTACACACCTTGCTATTTGTCACCCCACTTCTACTACTAAAAATACAAAAATAAATGACCCTTAATACAAGGTCAAATGGAGTAAAAGTCTCTAATTAGCATACCCTAAATTCTTTAAAGAATCTCATATATCCAAGGAAAGAAAGTGTCTCACAAATACAAAGGTAAAATGAACCTATACAAGAATTACTATGTACAAATGATCTAAAAGGTCCTCAAATTTAACCCATTCCTCTTGGGTCCTTTAATATATCACCTCTTGGTCTTCTTGACCTTGGCATGATTCCATCAAAAGGAGATAAAGGATGAAGTACAAATTTCTTCTTTATGTGTGAAAGTTATTTCATTAGTAAGACCATTGTGTGTGGTTTTCTTATCAAATTTCCATGGTTTTCCTAACAAAATATGACAAGCTTCCATAGGTACTATGTCACAAACCACTTGATCTTCATAGTTACCCATTGAAAACTTGACTTTATCTTGTTTATCCACTATTATGTCCCCATCTTCATTAAGTCAATGAAGTTGATATGGTGATGAGTAATTATTTTCCCTTATTAAATGCTGAGGTGGAAAATGGTGCAGCAGTGACATAGTAGATGACGTGGAAGCTCCTTTTGAAGTCCAAAAATTAGTTCCAAGCCCAAATAATTATTAAACTGCCCTGAAAATAAAATTTGGAATAATTAGATTCAGAAATTTCAAATTAGTTAAAATATGAATTACCGGTCTAATTAAAGCCCAAATAGAAAACAATGTAGAATATCAACAATTAAGCACAAATCAGAGATTAAAATAAGTACAGAAAGGTAAGAAAATAAGGGAAAATAATTACTCATCACCATATCAACTTCATTGACTTAATGAAGATGGGGACATAATAGTGGATAAACAAGATAAAGTCAAGTTTTCAATGGGTAACTATGAAGATCAAGTGGTTTGTGACATAGTACCTATGGAAGCTTGTCATATTTTGTTAGGAAAACCATGGAAATTTGATAAGAAAACCACACACAATGGTCTTACTAATGAAATAACTTTCACACATAAAGAAGAAATTTGTACTTCATCCTTTATCTCCTTTTGATGGAATCATGCCAAGGTCAAGAAGACCAAGAGGTGATATATTAAAGGACCCAAGAGGAATGGGTTAAATTTGAGGACCTTTTAGATCATTTGTACATAGTAATTCTTTCTTCTTTGGAAACTTCTCTACCTCTTGTGGTTAAAAATCTTTTAAAAGAATTTGATGATATATTTCCCAAGGAAGGCCCAATTGGACTTCCTCCTTTTAGGGGAATAGAACATCAAATAGATCTTATGCCTGGGGCTAGTCTTCCAAATAGACCAGCCTATAGGACTAATCCACAAGAAACCAAGGACATAGAGAAGCAAGTACAAGAGTTGTTGGAGAAGGGCTGGATTCAAAAGAGTCTAAGTCCTTGTGCTGTACCTGTCAT